AGTTACGTCGTTTGCATTAGCTTGTGCTGTTGTGCCTAAGCTAATTAATATCCTAATGATCCTTTGCTAGTCTGGGGCAAACAGGACACGGGGCCCGGCACAAGCCCGTCGGACCCACACATCAGTCTGTCAACCCGCTCCCGGTCCCGAACCTGGGCCCACAGGGGCAAAGCCCTGCTGGGTTTTGTTTCCTAGCCGGGGCAGTGCAGTCCAAGATGCAAACTTGCATTGCAGATAGCGCTGCCGCATATGCACGCCGGCCACGGGCCACGGCTGCTGCTGCTGCTGCTGCTGCGCACAGGTGTGGGCAAAGCGTGGTAGGGCCGAGGATAAGCAGGGTGTGATACGGTATCATGGTGCTGTCTCTCCCCAAGACTCCCAACTTGGCCCGTGGCCTCTGGGCTGACTGGGCGTGCGCAGCGGGTCGCATGTGCCGCGCCATGTGCACACCATCTTGTCCTAGTGTGGATCAGTACTGCTACGGCGGCTCGCCCAGTTTTCATGTGGGTTAAAGATCAGGATTGGATCGTCCGCCGATCTGCCTCCTCGGCCTTGTCGCGCCGAGCGAACTGCGGCGAACCTTCTCTGCGTGCACACGGTCGTGCGTGCACAGCCGCCCGAGTGCCCGACGAGCATGCTGTTGTCTACGGCTGCGCCTCGCGCGCGCGCGGTGGATACACACATATGGTCACTTGCCACACAGCCCACACGGCCACACCCCGACGAGTCGCCAGCCAAGGCTGGAACCTGGCAGCTGCGTGGCCCGCAGTCTTGCGCCGAGCGAGCCGCGAGAAGTAGTTGCAAGTAGGGCTGTGAACGAGCTGATCTCGAGCGAGCTCTCGCCTAAGCTATAAGCTCGATACAACCTCGAACCGAGCTTATAAAATATTTGATCTTTCAAACAGCTTGGTTCGAGTTCGATCAAGCTCGAGTTCGACTATCAAGCTTAATTTTTAAGTAAAAGAATATATATTTTGAGGATGATATCTTAAAAAATAATTAATATCTAGTTAATCATATTAATAGAAGAGGAAACAAATAATAAACTCGATGGAAGCTCGAGCTCGACTTAACAAAGCTCGCGAGTTTTAGGAGAGGCTCAGGCTCAACTCGTTTGGAGCTCAAGCAGTTTACGAGCCTCGAACATTTTTGACAGCTCTAGAACTTGCAACGACCACCGAGGGAATTCACTGCAAACATTTTTGGATGGTCTGGGTTGGGCCTTCAGGGTCTCTTTGAATCGCTGGAATGAAAAAAAATAAAAGAATAGAAAAAACACAGGATTCTAACATAAATTGTAGGGTAAAATAGAAGATTAAAAAACACATGAAAAACAAGAAATAGTTGTTTGACTGAGCCGTAGGAAAATACACATGAATTGGAAGAGAGAGACTCAAAGGAAATTTTCCAAGACTTTAAGTTCTTGCTAAGTTTCCTCCTAAATCTCTACGAGATCGTCCAATTCCATAGAAATTTCAAAAGATTGGATATGATTTAATTCTTTGATTCAATGGTATTGATGTGAATTTTTTCTTATAGGATTGAAATCCTTCAAAATTACTGTGTTTTTCCTCCAAATCAAAATCTACAGTCTGCAGTAGTACTACTACTATTTTGTTCTATGGTATTATTTTCTTCCGTATTCGGAGTTCAATCCATTTACCCGCAATTTGAACTCGCCACAGAAAAAGCGAAGTTTTTTGCCGGACCCATATGCGGCGACAACAGAAGACACCCCTTGCTGGCGCCGACCAAGTTCGAATGGCCATTATCCAAAAGTATACTAGCAGCGAACTCGGTTGGGCTGGATTAGGCCCGCGGGGTAGTGGTAGTAGTAGTAGTAGTATGCTGGGGCGCCACCGGCGGGGCCGATCGGTCGTCAAATCCAAAAGAAATCGGAGCGGTGCAATTAAAATCCGCCCAGGCGCACACCCACAAGTCACCAACCCTGCTTCCCTCTACTGTCAATCGATTTGTTCTGCCTTGTGTGGCCGCTAGCTTGTTTTGGTCTGTAGGCAGGCCGCGGGTCCCGATGCGGGATTCAAATCGCGCGTGGGAGACCGCGCGGTTTCTCTGCTCCGCGACTGCGCGTTGCGTATGCGCAGTGTAGTGCGCAGGAAGGCTTGCGTTCATGCGCGCATCGATGCGCTCCGGTCGCGCATACTCCATCCGTTGTTCATTTCTTATCTCTCCCCACGTACTCCCTCCGTAAAAAAAAAAAAAAAGTTGTTCAATCTTTTACCATCCGTCTTATTTAAAAAAATTATAAAAAAAATTAAAAATATAAGTCATATATAAAATATTAATCATATTTTATCATCTAACAACAATGAAAATACTAATTATAAAAAATTTTCATATAAGATGGACAGTCAAACGTTGGCACGGAAACCCACGGTTTGCCTTTTTTGGGACGGATCCTAATACAAGGGATTTTGTGTTTTTGTTTACACTGTTTGATCACTCGTTTTATTTAAAAATGTTTGAAATTATTATTTATTTTTTGTGACATATTTTATTATCAAAAGTCCTTTAAGCACAACTTTCCGTCTTTTATATTTGCACAATTATTTTTAATAAAACGAGTGGTCAAACAGTGCAAGCAAAAACTCAAAATCTCTTATATTATGAGACGGAGGGAGTAATAAAAAGTAAAATCACTAAAATACCGTTTACTCTTTTCGAATACTAATGTAATTATCCCACGCTTTATCTGGTCACAATATATTTGTTTCTATTTTATCAACTTTGATATAATAATTGCTTGGAACATAAAAATATTTTGTGACGGAGGAAATAAATCAATGGCAACCGTATCCGGTCTAATAATCAGGCTTGATACGATCAGACAAGCACTCCTTTTGTTTTGTTTGTGCTCATTCCATTCCCAAATAAAAAATATTACACTTAGGTGCGTTCTTTACATCAACTTCAAACTATAATTATCTTATTTTCAATAATATAGTTTTCAAATTGCTAAACTATGCATTTATGTAAAAGTTTTTTATATAAAGGTTTTTTTGGAACAAAGGATTCTTTTTAAGGAATTTTAGAGAAATTCAATCATGTGAAAATAATTTCTATATGGACATTTGGGTTATAGGAATAGCTATAAAAATCCTACGGATTTCCTTTGGATTGGCTCAAAACCTAGAAGTTCTAGGGGAATTCTAACATGAGCTTTAATTTCTTAGGGAAAAAAGTCCTTTGTGTCTATCTCTTTTCTTATTCCCGTACTTTTCATGTGCTTATTAAAATGGCTATTTTTTGGGGGTTTTTTCCTAATCCATAGGATTTGAGGTGTTAGGACACTGCAATAGTGCATTTTTTATGTTCCTGCGTTTTTAAAATCCTGTGTTCCGAATGAGCCTGAAATGTTTCTTGAAAAATTAAATAAATTTATTTTAAGTTTATGATAATTGATATGCTAATGACTTATCTTGTATCACGTGTCACAAAAAAATTAAACTGCTACTGCTAGTATAGGAAGGGTACGTGCTATTAAATCGATATGAATTTAGAAGATAAGAGCAGTGGGTCTGAATAAACTAGATAGAGTTACAGTCCCCCCTCCCATCTACATATGGTAAAAAAAATTTAGTGGGGTCTTCGTGGCGTCTCTCATAGTCTTCACCCCAGTAGTGGGGGCTCGAGACCCCGCCGCCCCTATACTGGATCCGCCACTGGATAAGAGTAATGTGTTTTGATGGCTCATATGGTTTTGGTTTATGGATTATAGAGAGAAGCTAAACAAAAATATATTAAGGGTGTGTTCGGTAGTACGATTTTCAACTTCTAGTTCTTTATTTTTCGCTCATGTTTTCCTAAAAATTAAATGGTACATAAAAAAATCATACGTAGAGCCATACCTATCGGACCGGGTATCCACGGATAACCAAACCCAAGGGCAAAATTGCAAACCCTCCATGAGAGACTACGAACTACTAAGTACTCCTACCGCTGTGTGAGGCTTTCTTCTTTGTCTCCTCAATGGCGACGAGCGGTGGCAGTGAACCTCATTGGCCTTACAGCCTCTGACAACCCCCACCACGATCACGATGGATTATAAGTGTTGGAAGACTAGAGGTCGGCGTAGGGGTGTCACTCACGCGACGAATGCTTGGGCAATGGTCATCGCCGCCGCCGTGATCGTCTTGGCCGCCTTGCTCATCACCGGTCTCGTTGTCGTCTGGGTATGGTGGCGCGTGGTGAAGGCCAATGCCACGACGCCTCCCGCTCCCCCTGTCCTTGCCCCTCGGGTGACGGTGGCGGTAGAGGCAACCAAGGTCTGAGCTCCGGCGGCGACGAGTGCGATCTAGGAGTAGAACCATTGCGGTCTCTGCATTTCTACTTGTGCTTGAATTCGTATTGTGGAATTAGTAGTAAAATTGGCTCTGCATTTCTGCAATAATGATGGCGGGAGGGCGGGCGCTGCCTCGAGACGGAGCGCCTATGTGACGACGTCGTCGTCGCTGCTGCCGCTCCAGCACCCACTCCCTGCACACAGTGCACACAGCCGAACAAGGGAGAGAGGGAAGAGGAAGAAGGGAAGGAGAGAGGATGACATGTGGGCCCACATGTCAGTGGCCCATAATTTTTTTGAATGATAAATGGGTCCATGTATTATAATAGCATACCATATCAATGCCACGTTGGACGAAGACCAGGTCAATACCGCCACGTATGCGCCACGCCAGCGAAACAACCCTCTAAAAACGTAAGGGAGTCAAATTACACCGGTTTTAATAGTTGGGGCTTTGGGGGGTCGATATATCTGGTATTGCGATTCAAGGATACGAATCAAATTTGGTCATTAGTTTAGGGAGTGAAGGTGGACTTTTTCCTAATGAAAATGGGTTGCAAGAATCATCATTATTCATGACCTTTGGCCCAAGTGTGGTACTCAGTTTCATCTCAGTAGAGTACAAATCGAATGGGTTAGGACGTGAATGTTAATATGAGCGTTGCCGTTTCATAGACTGATTCAAGAAAGCAGAGTCTTAAAAATCTAACTCCCACAAATCCACGAGGAAAGATAGTATTAATTACTAGGTTCATACCAGAACAGCAATAGTGTTACATAACATGGGGATTATACAAGTATACAACAATGGGAGAAACAAAGATAAAAACCTGACGCCTTCTTTTCTGTTAGGTTTCCCCCAGCATTTCCAGAACAAGGGAGAAAAACACTAATCTAAATAAGCCGTATACAAAATGAATCAGAATCAGATAGTGGCAGCCAATCATGGTTTCCATGGTGCCGGAGGCGGTGGGGGCGAAGGGAACATCGGCGGCACGGCAGAAAACATAGTGTTCTTATCCACGCCATGGCCTTCACCTGACAATGCTACTAATGCTGCAACTAGACCGGCATTGCCAGCTAGAGTTGCTTCCGTGTAGTTGTAATTCTTGCGAACATCCTTGAAGCCGTCGTGGCGATCAGGGCCAGCTACCATCGCTCCGACGATGATGTTAGGGTTTGGTTTCTTGGTTTCTCTCCACTTCCAACCTCCTTTGCAACCGTAGTGGACACCATTCTTTGGGATCGAGGCACCCCGATGATGAACACGTTTAGGGTAACGGTTTCCGTAACCAACCACATAGCTCATCTTCAAAGGATTTTTTCCTAAGATGTATTCGATCTGAAATAAGTAGTGAATTAGTATCAGGAGTTAAAAACTGCTGGAATTACAAGATTCCAACATTTTAAACTCTGCAAACCTACTTGAGTTCTTGCAAAATTGCGCAGAGTTTCAATTGGGTAGAAATGGGGCCCACAATACCAGCCAGGGGTATCTGCAGCCTCAAGATAGTCACCGTACAAAGAAGCAAGGAATGCAGCGTTCACCACATACTGAAGAGGTTGTGGCCTCCCGTGATTCAACTGGATCAAACCACCTGAAATACAATAATAATAGGGCCTGTTTAGTTGGTGAAATGAAAATTTTTGGGTGTCACATCGGACGTTTGACCGGATGTCGGAAGTGCTTTTCGGACACGAATGAAAAAAATAATTTCATAACTCGCCTGGAAACCACGAGACGAATCTTTTGAGCCTAATTAAGCCGTCATTAGCACATGTAGGTTACTGTGGCACTTATGGCTAATCATGAACTAATTAGGGTCAAACGATTCGTCTTGCGATTTACATGCAAACTGTGCAATTAGTTTTTCTTTTTATCTATATTTAATGCTCCATACATGTGTCTAAAGATTCGATGTGATGTTTTTGCGAAAAGTTTTTGGAGAACTAAACAGGGCCTAAGTAACTAACTGTTCACAAACCAATGTGTGACTGTGTGATTCAGTGAGTTCAAGGTCAAACCTTTTGTCCTGTTGAAAGACTTGAAAATTGGAAGATAAGAGCACATAATAATGCTTGTTTGATTGTGGAATGTCCTGAGGATCTCTTCATATGGATAACCAGGACTTAAGAAGAGCCTTAACCGGCTCAAAAGAACCTGTAATGACAGACCATAAAATAAGTACCAATTGATATGTTAAATCCGTTTATTTGTTCATCTGGATTTTTTTTACTAGCTACTGCTATGTACTCCCTCCATCCCTAAATGTTTGATGTCGTTGACTTTTTTAAACATATTTGACCGTTCGTCTTATTTAAAAAAATTAAGTAATTATTAATTCTTTTTATATCATTTGATTCATTGTTAAATATATTTTTGTGTATACATATAGTTTTACATATTTCACAAAAGTTTTTAAATAAGACGAATGGTCAAACATGTTTAAAAAAATCAACGGCGTCAAACATTTAGGGAAGGAGGGAGTAGCAAAGAATTTTAGCTCTTGAAGGTTAAGAAATAGCATATACACAAAAGTTACCAGGTTCTATGATTCAACGGGTTAAACTAGAGAGAAGTGTGACCAATTCTTTTGACACACATAGTTGAAACCTACCAGAACTGGTTATTTAAAAGATGAGCCCAAATGCAGGTTGCATGCTGAAAACAATTGTTATCATGGGTCACATTTTTAGGAAATTCCAAAGAACAAAAAAGGGAGACAGGACAACACTGACGGTGTTCCAAACCTTAATATATCATACAAGTTGTGTACCTCTTTCTCTATAATTGTTACTAATGCTCTACATTTCAGGTCTTGATATACCACATAACAAGTTGACTCCACACAAGATAGCTACTGCAACTAAACCACCTCACATATTATATACAAAATTGGTGATTCAACAGATAGTCCTATATTATAATGATCAGCATGTTAGATACGGAATATTCATGTCAAGCATCAACCAAGTACCAAATTAAATGCCAATGGGTCAACCTGGGGAATGTCTATATCATTACTTAAACAGAAGAGAACAAATGCAATTACCTGTGCACCAGTAAGCTTATTGTCCCAGCTGAATACACCGTAGTCTGGACCACCCCAGTAAGCACCAGCATGCTTTGCAAGCTTGGGGTGTGTTGCCAACTGCAGGTACGATGAATTGCCGGTTGCGAGATACATCCATGAACCACCCCATACAAACTCATCCCAGTAGCTGGTTGAGTTATAGAATTTTGCAGCATCGGAACCACCTGCACTATATCTTCCACGGTTTTGCCTTGCAAACTTGAAGAGGGTGGTAGCACCATGTACCAGCTTCTGCGAGTACGCCTTATTGTCCTTGAACACAATTGATGCTGCTGCCAATGATGCAGCCATCTCAGCCGCAAGATCTGAACAAGCATGGCACTCAACTACTGGGCGAGGGTAGTCAATGTCCTCTGGTCTCATCCAACAATAGTGATCGTTCGGTTGAGTCGAACCGGGTGATGTTGCACCGCTCCCCACCTGCACCCACCATAAAATCTCGAATTAGCAATGGCTCTGATGGCAAGAACTACAATCCCTCTGCACATATCCATGTTTGCATCTTTGTTTTACCTGCATAACGACACGATCAATGGTATCCGCCGTTGAGTTGAAGGTCTTCAAGAAGTAATCGGCCCCCCACTTGATGGTATCACGGATATGGCCAAGTTCCCCAACTGCCTCGTATTTAGCACTGTACTCGATGACGCTCCAGCTGAGGAGGGTCATGGAGAAGGCAGCTGGAAAGTTGAACTTGACGGCGTCGCCGGCGTCGTAGTACCCTCCGACGAGGCTGCGCCCGACTGCCGGATCCGAGAGTCCGTCCTTCATGCACGAGTTACCACGCCAATGCACATTGTTGTTCTTCGGAAGCTTTCCAGCTGCAGCAAATACACAAATGGGAAGTACCATCAAAATGTGATCTTTAAGTTGGACATATTATTCTTCTAGATAAACTCCTGTAATCTTTACGGATGGATCTGATGGACAGACCGGTTTGGTGCCTAGTTATTCCCATTTCAAGCACCGGAAAAATAAATCCAAGCTAATAAAATAAAAATCCCATCTCTGAAGCCGGCGTCTCAACTCTCAAGCCATCGTAACTCTCGGAAGAAACCGGAAACCAAGCTAAAGACTTGAAACTTCCTGTCCACAAGATCACCGGGAGAAACAACGGGAAAATCCGGTCTTTCCTATTCTACCAAGAGAAGCATGAAAAAAAAATCGAATCTTCAGAACTTGGCAAAGCTCAAACGCACAATAATCAAATCCTAAAAGCTCCCGAACATAAATCGCCCAGATCGCCAAAAAAAACCCACCATTTCTAATCCAGCACAACTGAGAACTCACAAAAAAAGGAAAAAAATGATCTGATACTCCGACGCGCGAGGCGGCAGGGAGGGAAGCACACTCACATTTCTGGGCATTGAAGAACATGAGCGCCTTGCGCAGCGCGACGGTGAAGTCGTCCGGCGGCGGCGGCGGGCGGTGGTGCCTGGGGATGGCCTTGGCGATGCCGGCGACGAGCCCGGCGAAGACGGCGGCGGCGAGGAGCACCCCGACCGTCCACACGAAGAGCTTGCGGCTGACGACGAGGCAGCCGAGGTCGACGTACTTCTTCTTCTTCCGGCCCTGGTCCCCCGGCCCGGCCAGCAGCCAGCTCTGCTGCGTCTCGTCCAGCGTCCGCGACAGCGCCCCCCTGTCCAGGTCCAGGTTCCGGCTCCGGTCGTCGTCCGTCGCCGAGTCGTGGCATATCTCCAGCGGCCCGCCCCACGGGTCCCTCCCGTACATGCTCATCTCGCCGCCCAACCTCAATACCCCCTCGCGATTCTTGCAATGGCACTGGCTGCGGCGGCGGCGGCGGCTGCACCGAGTGGTTCTTGGGACGGACAGTGAGGAGGACTGGAGGAGGAGGAAAGGAGAGGAGAGGCTTTTGGCGTGTGTGGGGAAGTGGGATTTGTTAGGGATGGATAATCAGGTACTACTACTACTGTTGCCGTTGTAGTGTGGTGTTGGGTGGGGATAGCGATGGACGCCTACGAGACAATCTTATATGTGGATTTTTGTTTGTTTTTGTTTTGATCTTTGGTCGTCTGGGTTTAGGAAGGGCAGTTTCAGTTGTGCCGTGCGGATCTTTAGTTTCAGCTGTTTTGTACAGAGTTTAATATTCGTAGTCAGTCACTGTGTTTATCAACCACTGTTTTGTACAGAGTTTACTTTACTTTAGTATACGACTGTTACTCTCGTACTAGGATAGATTATCTTCAGATTATTTTTATTCTCCGTAGTATGTTTATTTAGAAATAGTTTTTTTCAGTTTTAAACATGACCTGGGAGTTCTGAAAAACGCTGTTTTAAAAAACTGTATAGTACATGCATGTGAGTTTAACATTTGAGGGGATGGAGTCATGGAGCAGGTGTGCTTCACCAAAGCACCTGCAGGACACCTCGCTCATCAACCCGCATCAAACTGGCCTCTCGGATTGATCTCAGTTAAGTGCATAATCTGGAAGCATCTGGATTTAACTACAATTGATTAGGTCACTTACTGTGCTGGAAAGGAATTGCACGCAGCTAATAAAGGCGACAGGGACAACGCACAGACCCTTCCATATGTCGAAGGACGAATTAACAGTGGATCGTTATGTGGATCGAGATGGAGCAGGAGGATTAGCAATATAAGGATTCTCTTACAAGGCAAGGTACGGGTGTAAGCCGATGCGACTTTGTTAGTTGTTGAGAGTCCGAAAGCTTAGCGCTTTCTAGATTCTACTTTGTGGGCACTAGCTGGTAGCATGCAACTGGTATGCTGAACAGTGAAGCAATTAACCTTCAGGCTCAAGCTAACCAAGACAAGTCATCTCTTGACGATCATGTATGTATGGGCTCCTTTTTGCTGGAGCAAAAGCTCTAGATTTCCTTTTGTAGCTCAAACATAACAGTTCACTACTCTCTACGTACCGTCCTTAACTCTTACTGGCACGAAAGTATGTTCAATACATTACCTATTATCTCTCTGCGTGTAACCCGACCGACCTTCTACAAGCAACTCCGTGTACAAGACTGAAATGGAGAGACACAATTTCTACAAATTCTGAAGCCACGGTTTCCGGAAAAATTTCCAGCTTGGTCCTTGGGTGCAAGTGCAACGGGGGCCACGCTACGTACAAAGCATGGCCACCTTCATTGCCACACGACACGCGACGACGGACCGGACGCCGATGATCCAGCTGTCTCGACGTGAACGCATCAACGGATCGATGAGCCGGTTTCGCCGTGTCCGCGGTGTGCATGCCCGCAGGAAAACGCATACGCATCGATCTCGTGCTGCTCGTAGGCGGCGTGTGGCTGTGTGCCGGGGCGCCCGGGGGAAATGCGTGCATGCAGCTGGATATTGCGCCGAAATGGTGAGCGTGTGCCAGCCAGGAAACGGCGCGTCGCGACGGGGGGTCCCCAGCGGCGAAATGCTTTGGACTGGTGGCGTGGCAAGGGTCCACCGGAGTTAACAGGAGCGCGTGAGGGTTTGTCATGGTTGGCTTCACGTGTCCGGCCTCGGACCAAGGCTGCCTGCTAGGATTAATGTCCGTCCACGAGATAGGATTCCGTGTGGGCCGTCGGCTTGTCGTCCAATATTTTCGTGTTGGTTGACCAAGCGTTAGGTCGTGTCGATAAGGATGAAACTGGACGGTTCCCTAACAAAAAAGAGAAGGCCTATGCACGAGAGGATGCTGAATGAATTGGGCTGGAAAAAATGGATGGCTATTGCAAGGGGATAAGTCTATTTCGCGTCCCTCAACTCATGCCCCTTGGTTGAATCGCATCCCTCAACTGTAAAACCGGGTACAACCCGTCCCCCAATTTCCAAAACTGTAGCAAATTGACTCCCCAGACGGTTTCGTCCTATGTGGCACGGTTGACTTGGTCTTCATCCATGTGACATCGACGTGACACTTACATCGCACTAAAATAAAAAACAAACCTAAATGGGCCCTAGATGTCAGTTATTCTCCTCTCTCTCATCTCTCCCAGTCAGTCTCACGACATCTCAGGTGGATTTCAGCGCATGGGAGCAACGCCGCCGCCCCTCTCCGCGCCCCGCCCCTGACGTCCCCCGATCTCTCCGCCGCAACAGCAATGGAGGCGCAGGCGAACGTCGCCGCCATGAGGGAGCAGCGCCAGGCTTGGAGGAGGCCATTGGTTTCCATCGGGAGATGCAGATGGGCCTCGTTGCCTTGCTCTAGCGCCCCGTACCAACCTCATCTCCTTCCTCGACCGCCCTTGTGACCTCCTCGCCGCACAACAGCAATGGAGGTGTAGACGGACGCCAGCGGCGATGACCTTGTAGCCATACAGGAGCAGTGCCGGAGCCTGGAAAAGGCCATCAACTTCCACAGGGAGACGCATATGGGCCTCGTCCCCTCACTCCCACCAAGAGCCCCGCCGCCCTAAAGCCCCACCACCGCCGCGTCCTCCCTGACCAGGTGTGCTCCACCTACCGCAAACCTCGCCCGGATTCTCCCTTGCCTCCGTCACCGCTGGGGTTGTGCGCGCCATGGTTGTCGTGTGCCCCTACAGCTCGTCCCCTTCGCCGAGATCAACGCTGCCGCGCTCGCGCACCGCCTGCAACGGAGAGCTCATCTACTAGCGAGGGCGAGCAGACTGCTCTTGCTGACCTAGCCGTCGAACTCAGCGGCCCGGCAGCCTCCGCCATAGTCCTCGCCCTCCGTCGTGCTCCATCTCGCTGTTGCCGCCATCCACCACCGGTCTCTGCCATCACCTGCGAGAGAAATGGTAAAGAGGGAGGAGAAAGGGTGGCGACACGTGGGCCCGAAATTTATTTTTATTCTTTTACTCACTGACATGTGGATCCCATTTAGGTTTGTTTTTATTTTAGTGCTACGTAAGCATCATGTCAACGTCACGTGAGATAAACACCAAGTGAACCTGCCACATAAGTGGTGTGTAGGACGAAACCACCTCTGGAACCATATGGGGAGTCGATTTGCTATGGTTTTGGAAGTTAGGGGACGGGTTATACCTGATTTTACGGTTGAGGGATGGGATTCAATAGTAGCATGAGTTGATGGAGATAAAGTAGATTTATTCCTATTGCAAGAGACTGGTGCGAGTGGGTATTTTTCTTAGGCAGCCCAGGGACTCCACCAAACTTCAACATACCCAAGCCCATCCTTATCATGCTAACATGGATATGGCAAGTGCCACCCTCTTCTTAGTACAACTTCACTGTGCTAGGCAATAGACGACCATTGCCCATTGCTCATTCGTTCTTCTTTTCTTTTCCTCGAACAAACAATGTGTAAGGAGGATGGACAAACGAAACTGTTCTTTTATATGTATTTATAGTAGTCGAGATATACGGTTAACACAAATTTTATGATACGTCAGTTACTGACCGTTGCTAGTTGTTTAAAAAATATCCTAGGGATTTTCTTTTAACTTAGGGATATTTGGTACCATGGCTCATTGAACTAGCCTGTTTTTGAAGAACATAAGTTTCGTGTTTTTTTTAACAGAAAGCATTTGGTGTTCGCAGCCGATGAGGAAGATGGGATTAAGGGATGCAAAACGAGAAAATCATTAGCACATGATTAATTAAGTTTTAACTAGCTGGATGGTCCGCGCAATTACGCGGCTAGCACCCAAACAAAATCATATATTTTTTAAGTATGATTTTACTTAAAATTTATTAAATAGTTATCTCATTGTGTTAAGGCTTTGAAAGACAAAACCTTATTACACCTGTGTTTCTAATTATATAGTTTTTAAAAGTCACACCAATTGCTACCCCTTATGTCATCTTCTTCTTTATTTGCTTGCTCGATCTACCACCATTTCTATTTATTTTCCTTGGAACCTTTTCAAATTGGATCTTATAGTTTTTAGAGTTTTTTTTGTCATGTTGGGTTTCTTTTTATAATTTCTAGATGTCCCGTCAAACGTTGCCGTTATACTCCTCTATGGCCCATCCACTGTCTCTTCTCTTTATTGTCATTAAAATTTTAAAAATCGAACATAATTATCGTTTGGATTCATTTTTATTTTCTAGAAGACCGGCCAAACCGTCAGCGGTTTTGCTATTGTACTCCTCTACGGCTCGCCCGCTGCCTCCCTTCTTTATTGTCATTGAGATTTTAAAATCGAACATGATTATCATTGTTTTTTTTTATTTTTTAAAGTTCCGAACCTTTAAAAATTGGACCTTGTAGTTTTTAGAGTTTATTGTCTTGTTGGGTTTTATTTTTTATAATTTTTAGAAGTACCTTCAAACGATGCTACTATGCTATTCTACGGCCCGTCCGCCACCTACTCTTTATTATCATTGTGATTCTAAAAATCAAACATAACTGTTTTTGGGATTCATTTTTTATTTTCTAGAAGTTCCGTCAACCTTCGGTGGCTCCGCAACTATACTCCTATACACCCCCACCCGCTGCTTCTATTTTTTATTGTCATTGAGATTTTAAAAATTGAATATGATTATCAATGGGGTTTATTTTTTTTACTTTCTAGAAGTCCCGGCAACCGCCTTGCTTGTTTCCTTCACGGCATGACTGTCGTCCCTCCTTTTAATCGTCATTAGGATTCTATTTGGTGTTTTACTAACAGTTTTTATTTATCATATCAACCGAGGCATGTTACTTAATTTATCTCGTCATGTGTTTTAGATCGTCTTTTCTTTCAATAGTCATTATTTTTATCACAAATTTTAGTCATTTATAAATTGCATTTCTAATTGAAATATTATTTTTCTTTTTCTAATTTCAAATTTTATTTTTTTCGAATTTTAATTATTATCGTATTGTGTTCTTTTAATATTTTTATTTTTTATTTTCAATTTCAATTGTTTCAAAATTGTATTCCTATTTGAACTCTCTTTTAATTTTTCTAATTTTAGATATTATTTTATTTTTTATTCTGAATTCTAATTAATCTCGTATTGGGTTCTTATATGGACTCTTCTTTCAATATTGCTTATTTTTAATTCCGAATTTTAGCTAAT